CAGGGCGCGCGCGGCCGCCCGGGCTGCGCGGCGGTTCGCGGAGCCCGGCCCCGGCGGCGGGCGATCGCTCGGGCCTAGCGGGCTCGGCCGGCGCCACCCCTCCCCGGCGCTGTGCGCACGAGCGAGTCGCCCTTTGGAATCCCGCGGCCGTGGCGGTGCCGCGGGCCGGCGGGACCTTTGGACGCTTGGGTCCTGGCCCGAGGCTTTGTTGCCCTCCTGTCCGGGTCCCGCGTTGACGCGGTCGGACGAGCCCCCCCGAGAGGGACGCACGGCCGGTCGCCGCCGAGGGTCACTGGAGGAGCGCGGCCCCCGGCGACTGGCCTGGTGACGCAGTGCGGACCGAGCTGGGGACCTACCCCGGGAACCCCGGCTGTTGAAGGATAATGGGGGGTGGTGGAGAGCAGGCCTGGAGAAATGACTGACTCAATTTTTCACGCTGCTTTCCTCCGTGGGATCCGAATCGTGATTTTTTTTTTTTTAAGAGGTTGAGACACGTGACACCCACCACCTGAACTTTATCTGTGTCAGTGCTAAACACTTAGGTCATAGCCTTTCAGAACAGCTTCTTTGGAACATAGCATCCTTCGTTGATTGTACCAGTGTGGATTTTTCTCCCTTCCTTCGAGGAGACAGCGGGGAAGAATGGGTTAAATAATAAATGATTGTAAACAGAACTGCCGAGCCTTTAAAAAGACAGCCCCGAGTCATAGCCCAGCATCTTTTTATTAAGTCAGCTTCACAGCAAAACTAAGGATGGTTTTAATCTTTGTAAAAAGAGGAATAGTAGAGTACCAGGTTTTTCCTGAATGTGTAATTATGTAATCATACTATTTTTTTCAGCTAAGGTTTCATGTATGTGGTGAGAATGGCATTGCTAAGGAAATGAAGTTGGGGGAAATGTCTTCACAGTGATTTTGGAGAAAGATTTCTCTTGTGCTTGTAAAAGAATTCTCTTTCTAGGACCGGTTCTCCCAATAACTAGGGTTTCTTGGAGGCCTTCTATGCCAGATGACTGATGAAAGAAAAAAAGCCTGTATTTGTCCTTCTCTTTTGTCTACTAACACCAAAACAACACGTTTTGAAAAGTGTGTTCTGGGGCTTTTTAAGGCAAATGGCACAAAATATTTTATCTTAATGTAATTTAAATTTTCTGTCTTCAGCACTTTTTCTTTTCTTTTTGTAACACCTGGACTCATGCTTGTAGTCTCAGTGCTTACCAGGCTGCGGCAAGAGGATTGGTGTGAGTTTGAGGTCAGCCTGGGCTACAGAGTGAGACCCCTGTTTCAAAATCCAACAAAGGGCAGGAGAAGTTGGAGAAACAAAGACTGGAGGAAAAGCAGTACCTAAGGAAGAAATAGCTCTAAACTTTCTAGAAATGATGATTCTGTGCATTTGTGTTACTTTGTGTGTGTGTCCTGTGTATGAGGGGGAGGGCAGCGTGTGCCACACCATTCATGTTGGGGACAGAGCACAACTTTGGGGAACCAAAGTCTCTCATTCTGCTTTTGTGGGTTCCAGCAGGTGTAATTGCTGGGGTTGTGAGGCACCAGATGTTAGCTGTGGGAACTGAACTCACGTTCTCTAGAAGCATCGAGTGGAGCCACTTAAAAAATTTAAATATTTATTTATTTTGTGTGGGTATGGGTGTATGCTTGTCTGCTGTGGCACGAATGTGGAGGTCAAAGGACACCTGGAGAATCAGTTCTGTCCTACTGTGTAGGATCCAGGGGTTGGACTCAGGTCATCAAATTTGGCAGCTGGTATACTTGCCTGTTGAGCCATGTCACTGGCCTCTTAGACGTTCTTTGGGACACAAATTGTGTTTTCTTCTTTGCAGTGAGTATGATAGTGTGGCCTTTCTGCTCAGAGTATTTGGAGTGCTCAGATGATAAAGTATTTTTGCCTGATTGTGATAATTCAGTCATTGAATGAATGGATTTTAAAGGTTCTGTGTGGAGGTTAGGCAGCACAGGTAACGTCTGCAAAGAGAAAAGCCTCCACGCAGAAGCCTGCATTCTAGTGTGACAAGTAATGAAGATAGGTCCAGATGGTTTTCCTTACTTTTGTTGTCCTTCAGGACTGGAGATTAACATAGGGCCTCATACATGCTGACTACATCTCCTTCTTTTTAAAGTTTTTGTGTTTGAGTCAGGGCTTCATTTAAGTTCCCATACTGACCTGAAACCTGTGTATTTTGGAAAGGCCTTCAACTTGTGATCCTCCTGCCTCAGTGGCCACAGTGGCTGAGATGGAGGCTTTCCACAGCACATCCAGCTACTTTGTCCAGATTAGTAAGGAGATATGAGTAAAGATGAATCAGAAAAATGGCATCAGAACAGCTGTTACTGTATGTAGATGGTGGCGGTTACACCCTAGAAATGCACGGGCCTGTGTTCTGTCACAGGAGTACACCAGCCTTGGATCGTAAGTAACACAGGTGGGGGAGGCCTCGTGAAGAAAGTAACGTTTGAACATGGCCCCTGAAGGAGGTTGGAGAAGCAAACATTGTGGGCTGTTTAGGTCCTGACCCTCGGGGGGTGTCCGCTGCCCCTCTCACAGAGGCTGCCTAAGGACCACCTGCTTCTCAGATACTTAGAGTTCACAGCAGGAACAAAGTTACAGCTCAGAAGTAGCAGTGGAAATAAGTTTGTGGTGAGGTCATGTAGGACTGTAGGAACATGAACTGTATTAAGGGGTCACCGCATTAGGACGAGAGAGCCATTCCTGGTCTAGGGAAGAGCATTGCAGGCAGAACAAACAGCAAGCCACAGTGACTGGCTGATGTAGGTAGCCACTAGGCCACTGTGAATAGAATGGGCAATAGCAAGAGAGTGGCTGGAGAATGGTGCAGGACCTCAAAGGTTGTTCCTACCTTGACCATAGCTGTGTCATCTGACGTACTTTCTGAAGGGGTTACCGCCTGTCAGTGGGACAGTGGTGGTGCCTGCTGCAAGGCTGATGCCTGAGCTCTGTCCCACATGTTGTCCTCTGGCTTCCATACCTGTGTGCCTGCCCAAGAGCACCTGTGCCATAGACACACAGACATACATGTAGTGGAGTTAACATTTTTACTATTATTTTATGTGGCTCACTGTTTTACCTGCATGCATATCTGTGTACCACATGTGTGCCTGCTACCCAAGGGGACCAGAAAAGGGCGTTGGGTCCCCTGTGACTGGGGATTAGAGACTTTACGAGCTGCCATGTGGGTACTGGGAATTGAATTTGAATCCTTTGGAAGAGCCGTTGTTTCCTTCCTTCCTTCCTTCCTTCCTTCCTTCCTTCCTTCCTTCCTTCCTTCCTTCCTTCCTTCCTTTCTCTCTTTTTCCTCTCTTTGGTTTTTTGAGACAGGGTTTCTCTGTGTAGCTCTGGTTGTCAGGCTGGCCTTGAACTCACAGAGATCCGCCTGCTTCTTCCTTCCTGAGTGCTGAGATTACAGGTGTGCACCACTCAGCCTAAGAGCCATTGCTTTTAACCATTTCTCCAGCCCCAACAAACAAACAAACAAACAAAGAATGACGGTGACTGCTGGACTGTGGGTGTGAGGGACACAGTGGAAGCAGGAGAATAGTTCACTGTGTCGTTAGTGGAGGTGAAAGTGGGTAGGGGAATAATGAGTCAGATTGTGTGTGCATCATCAGGAGTTATTAATGAATGGGATGATTTTGTCTGAGGTTTTTCCTTTGCATACAGTTTTGCTGTGTGTAGCCCTGGCTGACCTTGAAATGTGGTGGCTCTTGCTTGGCCTCCTGAGTAGTGGGTTTACAGGTGTGTGCCACCACCACTCACGTGATTGAGTTCTGCTAATCTGGTAGTTAGTCGAGGAACAAGGCCAGTTATGACTGAAATGGTTTGGGCCTGAACAATTCCGAGTTTCTGTATGGAAAGAGGAAGACTAATGGAAAATCAGACTGAAGTTTAGTTCAGTTTCATTTTAGACATGTTAGATTTGAAGTGCCTGCTAGACCTTAGTGGAGATAGTAAACAAGATGTCTCTCGGGGAAAGTCCAGATAGTCTAGATAGAAATGTAAAGCCATGAAACCACTGATGTGTTGAATAAATAGAAAAGAGGAGGAAACGTGTTGACTGAGCTGTGGGGAGAGAGGGGTCAGGCATGGGCACAGATACAGAGTGTAGTCAGCAGTTGGGAGGTGGGGGCTAGAGCTTCCTTTGGAGGTCAGGAAGCTGTGTGCTCCTGGTGTTCTGTTTCTGTGACAGAACACCTTAGGCTGGGTGTGTTCGTAGGAGATGGTTTGTTTAGCTCACACTTTTGGAAGCTGGAAGCTGGAGATCCAGATGATCCTGCAGAAGGGGTGGCATGGTAGAGCATACAGAAACGATCATGTGGTTAGAGAAGGCTCCAGATGTTCAGATTGGGTAAGCTTCCTCTGTCTCTCAGTAATGACTTATTGTGCCAGCAATTAGCCAACCCTCAGATAACTGAATTAATCTTTCTTAGAGCAGCACTTCAATAGCCTAATTCCCTGCCAGGAGGCCCCTGTCAAAGATTCTATGCATTCTTAGCATTGCTACACGGAAGAAGCCCATTCAGACTTCCAGCAGGTGAGACCTTTTTGTTTGTTTGTATTTGAGATAGGGTCTCAGGTAACCCAGGCTACCCTCTACTTCAATTGTGTAGCTCAGGATGATCTTGGGACTTCTGATTCTCCTGCCTTTGCCTCCAAAGCACTGGAGCTGTAGCCGAGAACCACCATCCACAATTGTATTAGCTTTACTGACATTTGGTTAGAGAGGCGCTCTGAGGCTAACCTGTCCCTCCCCGCTCTAGTCAATCACCCAGCTTCATTTGTCATAGCATTTGATTAACAATTTATGGAGTGTTTCAGAAGGCTAATTTTTTTAAAAAAATGTATATATTAGTTTTGTGGAAAGATAAAAATTGTCTTCGTAATTTATCTGCCTATAAATTTACCATAATTTATTTCCTTTCCTCTTAAAGTAACATATGACACAGTTAAGCCTGCATGTATATATGTATGTATTTATTTTGAGACAGTGTCTCTCTCTGTAGCCCTGGCTATCCTGGAACTCACTGTGTAGACTAAGCTGGCCTTACACCCACAGAAATGTGCCTACTGCTGCCTCACCAATGCTGGATTAAAAGTATGCATCCATACCATTAACTTGTTATTTTAAAAATCAGTCATTGTACATGATAGCACATGTACAACCCCAAAACTCTGGAGACACTGCCTCAGACAAACACACACACCAGAACCAAACAGCCAACAAGCAAACAAACCAAATCCCAGCTGTATCTAAATAGGTGTCAGCAAGGCATTATTTTATTATTATTATTACTGAAGCAAAAACTTGTTTTATTTTTGTTTTTTTGGGACAGGGTTTCTCTGGGTAGCCTTGGCCGTCCTAGACTCACTTTGTAGACCAGGCTGGCCTTAAGCTCACAGAGATTCAACTGCCTCTGCTTCCTGAGTGCTGGGATAAAAGGCGTACGCTGCTACGCCCGGCTGCTTGTTTTATTTTTTAGAAGCTAATGTCAGACATGATGGGTAGTGTTTATAGAACTTCAGAGTGGTGGCATTAAAGAGTGCATACAGGTTCCGTGTGGCTTTGGACAGTTGTCTTGGGAAATTGCACTGGCACTTTCCTTCTTCATGTGCGTCCTTATCAGCCCTGGCATGGTCAGCCAGTAGAGTTGACGAGGTTTATGTTTCTATACACTTTAGCCCTTTGTATTTCCAAATAGATGTTTTTTCTCCCAAGGGGAGAGGGTGCTGGGGATTGAAGCTACCAATTTGTGTGTGCTAAGTATAGCTCTGCCCCTGAACTACATACACTCCCAGGCTTACTTGTATTTTGTTCTTATTGTGCTTTACTTATGTATTTGTGTGTGTGTGTGTGCGCGCGCACATGCGTGCGTATACCTCACTCTAGCCAGACTGGCTTCAAACTGGTAGTGACCCTCCTGCTTTAGCCTTCTGGATGCTGGGATTACAGGCTTGAACCGCTCTGTCAGGCTAGGGTTCTCCTTTGAAGTTGTTTTTGTTTGTTTGTTTGTTGCCCCAACTGTCGCCCTCTTTTTTGCAGTATACTCTGTTATTTATTTAACATGGAGAAATTATCCTATAGTTTGTGGGAAGTCGAATTGACATACAAAGTTCTTAGCTTTTGGATGTCTCAGTGGCTTTTGCACTTCTCCCTCATCCTTTATTTAAGATAGATGGGCTATTGTCTGAATAAGTAGTAGCGGCTGACTTCAGATTCCTGGTTTTCTTCCCTTCTGAGTGTTGGGTTGGCTTTGTTGTGTTTCTTTTTGTTGTTGTCTGTTTGTGATATGATTTCATTGTATACCCCAGAATGGAATTGAACTGGAACCAGTCCTCCTGCTTCAGCTTCCTAAATTCTAGGCACACGAAGTGATCCACCACACAGTTTCCAACCCTTTCTTCAAAAATCATCCTTTGGGGAGCTGGCGAGACGGCTCAGCAGTTAAGAGCACTGTTTGCTCTTCCAGAGGTCCTGAGTTCAATTCTCAGCAGCCACATAGTAGCTGACAGTCACCTATAATGGGATCTGGCGCTCTCTTCTGTCATGCAGGCTTACATGCAAATAAAGTGCTCATATGTATAAGTACGTCAATCTTCAAAAGAAATCGCCCTCTATTTTCACCTCAGTCTTCATGAAGTTGCATCGCCTATTGCTCTCTTGGTTTTCCTTATTGTATTGCTACCTAGAAAGGGAGGGTGCTCAGCGAGAACATGCATTGCCCTTGCAGAGGACACAAGTTTCGTTCTCAGTACCCTGCTCATGCTTAGCTTTTTGTGCAGTTGTTCACAAAAACAATGACTGTGATTTCACAGTTTATAAAAACATAGACATTGGTACCTCTGAGGTGATTATGTCAAAGTAGGTTATTTGATTTGTTTTTTTTTTTTTTCACTCCTGTCAGTACTTCTTTCTTTACTGACAGCCTTAGCTCCAACTTTGAAAGCTCTGTGTGTCACAGTGAGCAATCATTTTAGTGGAAGCACTGACAGGTCTTACTGTGAATCTTTTGTAAACTGTCTTGTTCCTGATGGAAGAGACAAGTGGGAGAGAGTGAGAGAGGGGCATATGGGCAGAAATTGGTAGGAAACATTTAAATAGCCACTTGTTGCTCATCCCTTTTGCTGATATTGACAACTTCTCTCTTTCTAGCTTGGAACACAGCATTTGCACTTAGAGGGTGACAAATGGCACAGAAATTTGTAGGCAGATTCCCTAGATTGAGGGTTTCTTATAATCCCCCCTTTTACTAAGAATTACTAAGATTTAAATTCAGTTTCGTGTGTGTGTGTGTGTGTGTGTGTGTGTGTGTGTGTGTGCGCGCGCGCTATATATATGGGTGTCCATAGAGACCAGAAGGTATTGGGTTCCCTGGAGCTAGAATTACAGGCATTTGTGAGGTGTCCAGTGTGAGTGCTGGAAACCAAACTTGGGTCCTCCAGAAGAGCACAGTTGTTGTAACTTTTAAGCCATCTCTCCAATCATGACTACTTTTAGCCAGATAGATTTTTACACATCTCCGTGCTGCAGGAGGCAGGTCATTACCAGCTGGCAAAGACCAGGCCCTGCAAGAGACAGTTATCAGCTGTGGACAAACTAGAGCCCAAACAAAAATCCCACACTTGGGATTAAAACAAAAACATATTTACATAATATAACTTGAGTTTTAAAAGAAACCAAAATTTCCATTTTTTGGAACTGGAGTTAGGATTGTTGTGATCCTTTGTGTGGGTCCTGGGTACTGAACCAGGCTCTCTGCAGAAACAGCAAGTGCTGTTAATCAATGACCCTTGTCTAGCCCCAAGGTGACAATTTTTAAAATTAAGTATTCTTATGCAGTATTATCCAGACAGAAATTAATAAAATAATTCCACACTGAGGAGTAACAGTAGAAAGATAGTAAAAATCTTTCTTTTCTTATTTTTGAACACAGGGTCTCATGTAGCCCAGGGTGGCTTTGAACTTACTTGTAGGATCTTGAGCTTCAGGTCCTCCTGGCTCTACATCCCAAGTGTTAAGATTGCAGGGCTACACAGTACCTAACACATCTGAATCCCCTCATTCTCTTCTCAGTCCTTGGAATTAAGCCCATAGTCTCCTGTGCACTAGACACCGAGTTACATCCCAAGCCCTTTTTACTTTAAAGTGTTTTGATTTAACTTTATGCGTGTGAATGTTTTGCCTGCATGTATTTCTATGTACTGCATGTGAGCCTGGTGCGCAACGAAGTCAAAAGATGGAGTTGGATCCTCTGAAACTGAGTTGCATTGTGGGTGCTAGAAATCAAGCCTGAGTCCTCTGGAGGAACAAAACTGTGTTCTTAACTCTCAGACCACCCTCCCATTTGAGACACTGTATAGCCTGGCTGTCCTGGATGTAGATCAGGCTGGCCTCAAACTCACAGACTTTTGCCTCTGTGCTGGGATTACAGGTGTTTACCACCACGTCCAGCCACGGCTACCTTTTTAAAAACTATCAGTTGTGAGACAGAGCCTCACAAATTGACCAGTGTTAGCGGGTGCTCATTTGGTACCTCAGCTAGGCCTGGAATTTGTGATTCTGCCTCAGCATCCTGAGTAGCTGGATTACAGGCCTGCACCAGACACAGACCTCCATCTATGTGTCTGTAAGAGGAGAAAACTTCAGGTGCAGAGTATAAAAACACCATAACGCATACAGCAGTCTTGGCTGATCCATGTTGTCGGAGACAGCATTCACTGGTGTCTGATGGCAAGACATCTTGTGTGTTGTAAGTGTTATCATGTTCAGAACCAAGGCTACAGTGAACTTGATCAATAGAGGCAGAAACAGGATTCCCTATGCATTTGGTTTTTAATTAATTTTTCATTGTTGCATGCTCATAATCCTTTAGTGTTTCCCTGGTTTTGTGACCCGTCCCCACAGCCTGTTGTGTGACTTCTGATAAGGCCATGACTTAAGACTTCAGTACCAGAGCTCCCTAGCCCTGGAGCCCTGACCAGAGATGTACTTGCTGACAGAGACTCAGAGTCCGTGGCACTGCACAATTGCTCAGCCTGTTTATTGAACGTTTACCAAAACTGTTTGCTCCTGAAATTAAATCTCATTCAAGCAGGAGTAAAAATTTAGTTTTCTGAATATGGACGTAAGGCCATTAAGTAGACATGTATTGTTGAGCCATTGGGGACAGAGGCCTGGAAACACAACAACTGTTGACATGTATATGCATGTTGTTAACTTTTTTTTTGTATCTTATGGAAAAGATCAGCTTTTTCCTGAAAGTCTTTGAAGGGACTGAAGCACTAGTGTGTGGTGAGAGATTATTCAAGTGCAAGTGAAAAGTGATTTTAATTTCCTTGCTCTTGATAATAAAGGCTTAATATTAAAGTTTACCTTGGGACTTGACTTAAGCTGACGAGCGTTTAAGGTCTCTGAAGTAGTGAGACAGTGCACTCTTGGGTGTGGGACATGCTCGGCACCCATTGTCTCTCCCCAACCTCTCTCCTTTAACCCTGCTCCCTTGCATTAGGTTATGGGCCTTTGCCTTTCTCTTCAGT